ACCCCCCTATATCCCCCCTATACACCCCACCCCCCCTCCCCAAAAGTTTCTCTGCGGATTTGGGCTGTACTCAGCGAGCGCAGTACAGCTTCCAACTCAGATCTGAAAAAGAATTAGTGGATGGCTGTTTTCTGACTGGTCGGCAGACCGCCGACCGGTTGGGCCTACTGGTCGGCTGCAAAACAGTCGGTGGTCGGGGTCGGCGGTCGGCAGCTATGCAACTGCAAGGAAAATGAGCAATAGCGAATTCCAGAAACCAAGCAGCATCATACATGAAACCAGATAGTCGTGACCTCGAACCAAAAGCAGAATTGTAACTCGAGTTCCACCAAAATAAGAGCACAGCAAAAGCTCACACGTGACAATGTTGGAATAGTCTCATCATCATCAACAATGAACCAATGTCGACTTCCTATCTGGCGCTGGGCGCCCAGACTACAAATGGCAGATCCTATCTAGCCTATCTACAATGCCGCTGGTGACGTCAACAGCTCCCCGAAGTGCGAGCAGATCTCGGCAAATGCCGTTCGCCTCAAGCACCAGGTATGTCTCACACTCACAACCTAGATCCCCCACACAGATGCCACGTGCACCCAAGGACCACCATGCGCCCCATCCAGCACCTTGCCGGCCAGCTGGGCTATGGCTGCCTGCGTGTATCGTGCTCACCCGTGAGCGCGTGGGCGCTTGCCTGCCAGTAGCGCAGCAGCGCCTGCGCAGCATGTAACAAGTGCCCGAATGCCCAATGTGGAGGCAGGCACTTTTCTATATGGAAGTGGCCTGCCTGCTGCGTGCTGCCTGGCTGCGCTGGGCCCCTGCCCAGAAGCTTCTGGTAGGCCCCAAGTGGCTGATCCCTGGTCCAAGGGAATCAGGCACAGGGCCTGGGGTGGTTACCCGTGTCCAACTGCCAGAGGCCTGCGTGCAGTTTCATGCCCCGTGTCTAGCCCAGGGCCTGCCTCAGATACATTTGGAAAAAGGCAGGCAGGGCCTGGGCATGCCTGCCTTCACTTAGGGCGGCCAATTTTGCTGAGAACAGGGCCCAGTAGGGCTCATCGAGGCCTTGAGCTTCACTTAGGGTGGCCCAGTTTGACAACTTAAATTTTTCCCTTTTGTCTTTAAATAATTTCGATTCTGTTGTAAAATTCCCAAGTAGGATTTGGAATTGATTTCCTAGTAAATTCCTACACATTTTCTTAAAAACGGGCCAATCTTTTTTTGCTAAATGATTCTCAAACCGTGGTTTGAGAATCGATTCGAAAATCCTTCTTGGATATGAAAATCTATCATTCCTATGTTGCTCTGGATTATACATGTCTATTTTTTAGTCCTGTATTTGATCCCCTAATTGGAGAATTGAAGTAATTTGTACTCTGGTTGTATTCTGATTTTCTTAGTTGTAGGATAATCCTTTTTACTTTACTCTTTGAACTTACAATACTTTTCACGTTTGATCTCAGCATAGCATAAAGGGTTAGTTCTCTTCTAGGCTGGGCTGGTCTTTGGGTCGGATCAACCACAGCGGTTGGGGAAGAGGACAAGGAGTAGTGCTGATTGCATTTGCTGTCACCAAGAGGAGGGATTGGTGGGCTGTGCCACTTGACGGTGGGACAGGGTGTGGGGGGAACTTCTGCTCTACGATGAGATACTCTAGGGGGGATTGTGTTTCATTGAGGGAGCATGGGGTGTCCAAGGGGGGCCTGTTCGGAACTGAGGCTGATGGGAGATGGTGGCTCCCTATAGCATGGGCAGGGAAGAACAGAGGGGGGTGTTGAGGAGCGAGTGTATTCGAGAGCGTGGCTGGAGGATGATGTTTTGGAGTGTGAGCCTTATGGAGTTGAAATTCGATATTACGATTCATGTTCTAATGGAGATACTGATTGGATCCCTATTGTCTAATCTTACTTTGGGCTAGGTAAACAGGAGTTTTCTGAATTTGAATTCGAATTTTGTGTCTTGTGGAATTTTCGATTGGGTGGGTTTAGGAGATTGTACCCACCTCTTTTGTTGCTGTTTGCGGGCCAGGTGTTTTGAGGATGTGCAGTACCTCTGTTGGGGGGGATAGTTTATGGTTGGTGAAATTGCGTCCTGCTGGTGAGGAGGGCTAGCTAGTGGGATTGGCTTAGGGCATAGCCGCAGCTGAGATGGTGGCTTAGCTGTTATAAGTCTTGCCGGAGAGAGGTAAGAGGTTTGTGGGGTTGGTGCTGCGCTTATTGGGTGAGGGCAGAGGATTGGTGAGTTGACCTGATTTCTGCTATTCCTCCTCTTGTGAACTATGGGTGGAAGGGGTCGGATCGTCGTGAGAGGAGGAAGAGTTGAGGAAGGTGTCCATTGTGTGGTGGAGGAGGTCGGCTCAAAAAAAAAAAAAAAAAAAAAAAAAAGGTGGGCCGCCTGTGACGCCTCAGGAGGGTAATGGTGGTGAACTAGGTGCGTTTCAACTTCCAAGGACGTTTCCAGTTTCTGACGACCTTCTTCTCCCAATCACAATTCCCCAGCATCATGTCTGTATTTGGACCGGAACAGGGTCTGCATATGTTCATGTAACTTCACGATGATGGTGCGCTATGTTCAGAAGAAGGGATTGACTAGTATGACTACACTCTGATTCTCTAGAGAAGCGCTTAGCGCACGCGCGACTGGAAAAGGGCACTTGCTCGTGCCACGTCACAGGCTGAAGTGGCAGCCGAGCAGATCCTAGACACCAGGAGATGGTGAGGATCCCGCATGCAATGCTCCTTGGTCACAGCAAATTTGAGGGCTGTGGTTGACCGCATGAGTATTGGCTAGCGCCAATGCCGCAGGAGATGAGCGGAGTAAGCCTTTAGAAAGTTAAAGTGTGTGCACAGTCTATGTCACTATCAGATACCAAACAGATCGAGAGCATCAAAATTCAACCCGCTCGACAGACTACAATTGCTGGCTTATCGGCCAGTGTTAATGCATTGTGGAGGGCGAGAAACCGCTGAGGAGATCAACAGAGGAATAGTAGCTGACTTCGCAAAAAGGGATTGATGCAATTTGGTGGGAGATTATGAAGACAGGAGAGAGAAGTCACTATCGGCAATGAAATAGAGCGACAGCATCAGATTCGACACCTAACCCTACCTGACAGTCTACATTTGTAAACTGGGCAAGCAGGTGACGACGTGAAGGTGATCAAGAGTCAGACATTATCTGCTGGTCAGCAAAAGCTGACGAGTCATAAAAAGAATGGTGGGAGATAAAGAAGGCTGGAGTGAGAGATTACGTAGATAGCTAGTCAGCCGTTTTACACGAGCTCGTAACAAGCTGATGAAGTCATTGACGAAAGTTAGCAGTGCAGATAGGGTGTTACATACTTCAATGAGTATGGGCAGAACCAAAGATCAACCAATGTAGGATGAGCATATATGCAGCGGAAGTCTGATAAACGGACTGACTCACATAGACTGACTCACACAGACTGACTCAAGAATCACTCCACACACATACAATCGTGAGATGGTGGGGTTTGGGCCAAGCATAGACGATGCCCAGACCTCGTACATGCATACACAGATGAGAGGTGGGAGGAGAGACGAAGGAGGTGGGGGAGGTAGACAGCACC